AGGCTGCTGCCTACAATGGACATGCAGTAAAAGTACTGGTCCAACTCTAGGCTCCTTTACTTCTGACCCAAGATCCCTGATAATGCAACCAGAACAATACCAGAAGATGGCCTATCTGAGTACCTACACTCATGTGGTTGACCCTGATGGAGTTTCCAACTCCTGGCTTTGGCTTGGCCCAGCCCCAGCTATTCTGGCCATTTGGAGAGTGAACCAGTTGATGAAGAGCTCTCTTGCCAGCCCCTTTCTCTCTCAAATCGCTTCTAAAAGCAAAATAAATGTATCTTCTAAAAATTGTAAGAGAATACAAAAAGGAAAGATCTGAAAAGATGACTTAAAGCAAACTAATTCCTTTTTTAAAAAAAAGTTTTATTTATTTTTATTGCAAAGTTAGATATACAGAAAGGAGGAAGGCAAAAAGGGGACATCTTCCATCCATTGATTCACTTCCCAAGTGGCTGCAATTACAGGAGCCAAGTTAATCCAAAGCTAGGAGTCATGAGCCTCTTTCAGGTCTCCCACATGGGCTCCCACACGGGCGCAAGGCTTTAGGCCATCCTTGATTGCTTTCCCATGCCATAAGCAGGGAACTGGATGGGAAGCGCGGCCATTGGGATTAGAACTGGTGCCCACATGGAATCCCGGCACATGCAAAAATGAGCAAACATATTTATGATGCATAAATCTGTGATTCAATCTAATGTAGTGCATAATAGCCACAGGTGGCTATTTGAACAAAAACTGAATAAAATTTAATTACTTAGTAGCTCTAGTTTGTTCATCACAAGCAGCAAGTGGCTGCTCTCTCAGCACCAATAAGAAATATTTTCATCATCACTGAAAATTATCTTGGGATACAATTTATCTATACACAATTTTTCAATATCCAAATAACAAAAAATGGCCCAGAGGCTGACTCTGGCAGAGTGGTTAAAGCTGCCATCCGGTAATGTTAACATTTCATATGGGCAGCAGTTCAAGGCCTGGCTGCTCTACTTATCAGTTAGCTCCTTACTAATGGCCTGGGAAAAGCAAAACAAATAGACCACAACAAAAAAGATAATTTCCTTTTAATGCAGACACTTGGAGGCAATAATGCTGCTGAAATAACTGGACCCCTGCTACCAAAATGTCAGCCTCAGCTCAGTCCCAACCATTGTGGGAGTACACTCAATGGCAGGTGGGCCTGATGCAATGGCTCAGCAGCTAAATTCTCATCTTGCATCCACCAGGATCCCATATGGTCACTGGTCTGTCTCCCAGCTGCTCCATTTCCCATCCAGCTCCTGATTGTAGCCTGGGAAAGAAGTGCAGGATGGCCCAAAGCCTTGGGACCCTGCACCCGTGTGGGAGACCCAGAAGAAGCTCCTGGCTTCAAATCAACTCAGTTCTTTCATTACAGTCACTTGGGAGGTGAACCAACAGACAGATCTGTCTCTCCTTTTGCTCTGTAAATCTGCCTTTCCAATTAAAGAAAAATAAAATGTAACAAAACAAAAAACTAGAGGGCAAGAACTTTCTCCCAATAAAGCTTAAATTTAACTTAGAGATAAACGTTATCTATAAAACTATATTATCTGTCTGCTTACAGATATAAATTAAAACAAAACAGCAAGTGAATGTCTAACAAAACATTGGAATAAGGTTGTTTCTGGGAATAAGATAATCTCTGGGAGCAAGTGCCATCACTTTAGCTAGGCAGTTAGTTGTGATGCTCATTTCCATATGCTTCTTTTATTTTACATACGTATTTTATGTTGTTACATATGTCACAAGTATCACAATCTTCAGAAAAATCCCTTTAATGACTTCCTAGATGGTTAGACTCTTGGTAAGTGCATAAAAGACCTGTAGGTGGTTGAAATCAAATGAAGAAGATATAAGAAATTTATTTGCTCATGATAGATCTCCTATGACTGCATATGTACCCCCAAATCTTCAGTTACAGTGGAACTCAGAAGGCAGAAATTGATTCAATCACAGTGTTTGGAGTCAGGGCCTAATCAGGAATGACTGGATTCAGTTGGGCCAGTAGGGTGAAATCCCCATGAGTAAATTCTTAAGGCTTTAGAGACCACAAAGACAGAGGACAGTCATGTTCATTCCTGCTTGGAGCTGCCTTATGCCTTGCGAAGCAAGAATTCCATCCCCAGAAGCAGAGACAAAGGAGTCCCCCAAGCTTGGACTGTGAATCTCCAAAACTGTGAGCCAGAATAAGCCTCTCTCTTTGATACCAAAACACTGATACCGCACTGTTCTGTCCAACCCACAGTTCTATCATCATAATGAAAGCACAGAAAACTTTTCCATAAAGAAGCAAGCATAACTGCTTATTACTGTTGTTTTTATAATGGTCACAGCACTGAAAGGATCAGGGACTCATGTCACAGAAGAAGAAATCATTTAAGACCCGAGTACACTAAAATTCAGGTTGAAGGATAATGACATAATGATTTTTATACTTAAGGAAGAGGGACAACAGATCTACTAGTTCAGCGTTCTTCCCAGGCAGACTGGAAGTCACAAGTAATCATATTCTAGTTCCATAAGACAGACTTCAACTGCAATTCTTCTTTTGGATGGAAACATACATTTAAAAAAAATCAACATATACTTAATGTGGTTAAGTTAAAAATATAAATATTATGATAATCATCAAACCCATTTGTCAGTCAAACCCATGTCAAACTTATTTGAACAACTATCTCTCCTACTTAATAGCCCTAAGACTACAGTGGACTTATTTTTCACCTCTTGGAGCCTCCGTTTCCTCAACTATGAGAGGACAATATCTTCCATTCAATGTTATTTGGCAAATATAGTATGATAATATATTAAATGGTAAAGCATCAAGGTTCATCTACTTTAATTCACAAAAATATTACTGAGGGGTTCCACATGGTTTTATGACTAGATAAATAACACAAAGATGCCAGCCCAAGGAAACAAAATGACTTTCAGATCTGAAATGTGTTGAGGTAAAAAGACTTGTATCTGTTACTTCAAGAAAAGCAGCAAAACTGATCTCCCTGGATCAAATTAACGCTGGTTGCCCTCAAAGTTTCCTTGAACCTGCTTTGTGTAGACATCTTCTCTCATATGAACTCTTCTAAATTTCCTGGCCCTACCACACTTTCCACTTTTCTAGAATAACAGTAAGACACAAATTATGATGACAAGACTAGCTACATACAGCAAAGGATGTTTTGTTTGCCAGAAGTTCAGTTTACTGGTCCGAAAAGCAATCTAAAGCCAAGATAAAGAATATATGCACTAGCGCCGACATCCCCTAAATTTAACCTGCAGAAACCCATAAAAGAGTCATGTTTATAAACAGGAAACACTGAACTTCAAGATTAAACCACAGTAATTTATTATAAACAAATAACTATCCTATAAATAACTTCACTCTAATGCCACTTGCACAGCTTTTGCTTCTTGTCTAACACATTTGAAGTTCAGATCGACTCAAGCTATTTTCCATGAATAAAATCATGACAGACTCTCAAGGATTTCCATTATTATGCATTTTACAATTATCTTTTGATTCCATGAAAGCATCCTGCTAAGCTCTAGTTTTCAACTTGGTACCGTTTTTTCACTTAAGTTTCGAATCTAGCTTCACATTACCAGGTGATGGCCACAGACTGTAATGAAGTTGGTGGATTCGCTGAAATTAAAACCGACTCGTTGGCACCAGCCTTCTTTTCAAGCACAGATAAATTATTTAAGACCAAGCTCACCAACAACGGCATGTTTTAATTTAGGAGGCAGTGTGTCTTGAAGCAAGCTATAAATAAAGTAAATAGAATCTGGCCTCAAAAGTTCTTGGCTCCACGGACCATTGAAAGGAGATGAAGGGAAAGAAGGTGACAAGAAGAAAAGCCAAGAGCAAAAGAAGACAACTCCAATGAGCTGCTTCTCTGTGACAGCTTGCCTCAACAAGGGCTCCATTTAAAAAAATATATTTATATTTAAAAGGCAGATTTACAGATATATGGAGAGAGACAGACAGAGCTTGCATCCCTTGGTTCACTACCCAAATGGCTGCTTATTATCTGAAGCCATGAGCCTCCTCTGTGCTTCCTATGTGGGTTCAGGGGCCTTCCTGCACTCCCTTCCCAGGCCAGCAGGAGCTGGATCAGAAGTAGAGTAGCCAAGGATATGAACAGACATCCACAGGCAATGCCATTGCCACAGATGGAGGATTAGCTTGCTGAGTCACTGTTCTGGTCAATGGGCTTCATTTGAATGTGACAGCACTTCATGTATTTCTCACAACCCCATAAGGCAGATGCTATGCCCTTCCCTTTTAGGATTGAGAAACTGGAGGCCAATGTTACAAAAGAGCACTGGGTGGAGTTCCAGCTGCTTGACTTCCAATCCAGTTCTCTGCTAATACACCTGAGAAAGCAGTGGAGGATGATCTGGGTTCTAGGGCTCCTGCCACCTATACAGGAGACCCAGACTAAACTCTTGGCTCCTGGCTATGGCCTGGCCCAGCCCCAGCTGTTGGAGAACACACCTGCAGATGAAGATTGCTTGCTCTGCCACTCTGCCTTCCAAATAACCAGATACATCTTAAAGATGGCTTCCATGCTAAATGAGACCACAGGACATGTATGAAAAGCAGAATCAGACATGAGAATTGCTCGATTGCGAAGCCTGGATACTTCAGTATTTTCTCTATGAGTGGAAATAATTTGTGATACTTTTTAGGTTTCACTTGTTTAGGAATTTCTTAAAAGGAATCAAATGTTTAAGGAATTAAATATATTTTTAAAAGCATAACACAAGTAGCAGCCAGACAGCCCATACCTGTATTTTCAACAAATTCTAAGAACCTGGAGTGTGTGCTTGCACCATTATGCATAAGATGTGTAGAGGACAATGTAGCGAGAACAGGCAATTCTGGTGAGGATTGCCCACAGCAAGCAACATGCAGTGGCATCTAAGAGCAAGACAAAGACAAGAACATCAAGTGCTCAGCGGCCTCTTACCTGCTGCACTTCACTCTCTCCGTTGGAGATTTTCTCAGTGTAAACAAAGGAGTTGAATATTCGCTGCAACAAAAAGAAAACAAACATACATTAGATTTTTTTTAAGTAACACATTTTTCCACAGAGGTGTGTGTGCGCACACTTGCACATGTGTGTGTGTGAATAATGAGTTGTTTACTGCACATACAGAATTAAGTGGGCGGGAAAAAAAAAGAGAAAGCAATTAAAACAGCAATTTTACAGAGAGAACTCCAAATATCAGCCAAAGTCAATCACACCACATAAGCAATACCCAGCACCTTAACAGTGAAATGAACCAGATGTTACACTGTACTAATCATTTTCAAAACTACATTTAATTATAGATTTCCGGAGCCATGCCATTTTATCCAACTGGTATAATCGACCAAGTTGTGTTTCTCATTTAAATCCTGTACTCCCTGAAAGCTGTAATTGTTTACAGACACTAAAATCTAATGCAGGAAAGCATTTGTAAAAAGATTTTTTTTCCCTCCACAAATTCCCTCATCTCCCTCTCCAGCCAGTACCTCCCCAGTGTGATCTGTCACCTTTGTTACACAAACTCCCCTCAGGATAGCAGCATAAAAGGTCTGCTAAAATGTGTGGCCTTAAGAGAAGATCCTGTTTTCACATGCCAGGAAATGTGACAGCCATGCCAAGACATGAGGCCAAACTGTGGCAACAAGCACACACATTCTTCCCCTGGTCCCTGCCAAGCGATATGTTCTCCTTGTTTAAAACATCTCTACAGACTTATGACCTTACTAAGCCATATCCTTACAGTGTAATCACAAGAAATGAACATGTAACAAACTAAAGAATGAGAACACTGAATTACAGATCTGTTAGAGGTGCAAAAAAAAAAAAAAAAAGGAGCAGCTGCCTCATCATTTATCTTTTTTAAAGGTACACCTGAACTCTCCAGGAGTAAGGAGGCAAACCTCTTCCCTTTGTATCCTAATGCCAAGGGTTTGTCAGCATCTGGGACAGCTTCCCAGACAGCCAAACACACCTGCATGGTGTGAGGAAGACAAGTGCCAAGTTCATCAAGTACTGTACAGCCAAAGTGCAGTGTGAATGAGCTAAGAGCAAGCCGGGAGTTTTGAGGGTATCTGGAAGCAGAGCACAGGGCGAGGGGGAGCAAAAAACTTAGGAAGAGCTTAGATGATTCTGAGTCACAGTGCCTCCCACAATTCTTCAATGTCACTCAGTTACTCAACACAAGTTTATCATTCTTTTCTTGCCCTATAATGCTTGTGACATGAATGTCTGCCTTACAGATTTCTGGTAATACTCAATGATAATTATGTTGGCTAATTTCTACTGAACATTTGTTACAGTGAGGATGTTACCTTTTATTTGAGTCTTATTAAACACCCTGTGATAGACACTATTATTAGATGAGGAAACTAAAGCAAGTTAACTGAGTACCTTGTGCAATGCACACATTATGCCTCGTGCATACTGTTTGATCTTCACGTGCAAATTACTACAACTCTAAAGGTGTAAAAGTAAGACCCTGGAGGCTTCAATAACTTATCCAGAATCACCTATATATTGGAATCTGAACCCAGGCACTCTGACACTAGATCTGGTCTTCCAGACCACTAATACCTGAACATAACACATATCACCAATTCCTCGTGTTATTCCTAAAATCAAAAGGCACTAAAAATCAGCAGCTGTGTATAACTCATGTTTACAAATAAGAAACTATCTGAATCTGACAATAAATCTTGGATTGAACTGATGTTTTTCATCTTTATTAAGCCATTTAAGCATGAACATCCACTAATTTTGATACAGATAATAATAAATGCAACTGATTACATGTGTTTTCTCCAGATGTCACCAGAATGTCTTATAATCAAGGGACATCACGATTCTCAGTCCTGAAAACATTACCTAGGGAAAGGAGATGTAAACTTTCAGACCCAGATTCCTATAATACCCCACCTTTTTAAAGCTATTTTTTATTGTTTTCCATGATACCGCTTTATAAGTACAGGGATTTATCCCTCTTTTTCCTTCCTACTTATTTTCCTCTCCCACCATTTCTACCTCCCATATTATCACAATAGTATAGTCCCTTAGTACAAGTTAAAAGTACAGCTAAAGTTAGAAAACCCTATGCTTGGTACATGCTTGCAATGAGAATCTTGACTGAATTTGAACTGTAATACTGCAACAAGGTGGAGGAATCCACCATGGGGGGGGGGGGAGGGCACAGGGAGGGGTTGTGGGAATCCCAGAGCCTATGAAACTGTGTCACATAATGCAGTGTAATAACAAAAAAATAACTTAAAAAAAGTTAGAAAACCTAGGTTGTAATTTAGAGGTGCATTTATAAGTTTCATTGGAAACCTGATTTGTATTTGGAAGGTGAGATCTATACTACATAGAACCCTTACGTTCTGGTATGTTCAGCTTCCCTCTTCAACTCTTCAGTTCTCAATTTTCTAAAAAACACTTTAGTTCACCTGATTTTAATGCACTTGGAGGCTGAACCAATGTTATTATCACCCATATACCCAGAATGCCGCTGTATGTTTATAAAATTTGATTTCACTCTTCAGAACCAAGAATGTAATTTGATTAAAAATGAACATAATTCACATAGTAATTCCAGATCTTGATGACCCAGCTCTTTCTTACTCCCCTTCAGACAATGATGCTCAAATTGATGCAGTTATCGGTCTAACTTGGAAAGTACCAAATCACCCTGCTAAAGCCAACGCCATGCGATGGTCAAAGGCTTCCGTCTTCCTGCCTTAAAAGAAAAAGGTGAACTCCTCAGAAGTAATGAAGCATCTACACCCGCAAGGGTTCATGAGGGTGTTCTGTTAATTAGCTCAACATAGTCCTGATCACATACAGATCTTTTCTCTGGCTTGTAAGCATTTTCTACAACTAACAGATGTGAATGGATAAAAGAAAAGGTTAAAAGCAAGAAAGATGTTTCAGAAGCAAGCAGTGGTGATCTTGCAGACTTCCCTCTAAGCACTCCAGAACTGAAAGATGATCTGCCGCTCGGTCACAGCTGGGGGATGTCACCAAGCACACACTTTTTTTTTTGCTCCCTATCCTTCCCAGGTGGTGGTGGTAGGGGTGGAGTTTTAGGAACTGCAGGGAGAAGCCAGGAGACCCTAGACAAGTAACTCATGATCAACCACATCTGGTGCCAGGTTAAAAGTTCAGGCTTATGTATCACAGTATTTCAGGGTACAGAAAAAAAAACTGCTCCCCAAAACTGTGCTGTAGCTATGAATGAAAAGAAATGGCCTGCTAAGTTCAACTTTCACAGTTTACAATCTCATTTAAGCTATTGCATTTGACCCTTACAACAACTGCATAAAGTAGGTAGAACAAGGAACCAGGACATGTTTTACAAATTAAACAACAACAACAAAAAAAAAGCTACAACTCAGTAACGAGAGACTATATTCCTGGTACAAAACAGAATTACTGAGGCTTAAATCCATGTCATTAGTTAGAAATAGCACTGCTTTTAGAAAAACTAAACCCATTTATTCCCTACAACAATTGTTCAGGATAATCTAGGAATCCTATTACCACCATGTGGAAAGATCTGTGGATTTAAGGTCTTTCTGTCCATCTTGTTACATAATGTCAGGAGTAAATACAGGATAACAAAGGTTTTTAAAATTGCTTTCTATTGCTACGTGTAATTGTGACAGAAACAGAATTCAGAGTTTTGTTTTGACTGTGACATTATATAGCTGGTATTTTGTTGAGCTCAGAGTCAAGACCTCCTTAGATATCAGAGGACTTGAAAAATGGAAACAGAACTGAGAAATTTTCCTAACACATGAGAATGATGAGCAATGCTGACAGGTGAGACCCTTCGGCTCCCTCGGATGGTTTACTCAAAGGAACGGAATTCAGGAGGGGACAGGCAAAGTGGGCCTTTTCCATGTTCAACTCCAAGTTGTCACTTTCCCTTAAACTCCCTGGAAAACCCAAGGAATTCCAGAAATGTGAACTCTTAATCTGAACACCTCCCTACAAGGAGTCAGAAGTAACTCCTCAGTCTACAGCCCCCTGGGAGAGAAGCTCAAGATAGGGTTCAGCCCTGCCCCTCTCAGGCACGGAAGTCCTTGGCACATGCAACAAGGAAAGCAAACAGCCTTAAATATGTAGTCAGATCATTAAAACAGATGAGATCGAAAAGGTTAAGTGAAATTACTCCACTGAATCCTGAGACTAAATTTCCATAATTTAAATGAAAACAATGACGAGATGTCTTATTCATAAGGAACTGTGTACTCTGAAGACAAAACTACTTTTCCACATTTCAGAAAACTGCTGGTGTCCTCTAATATTAATTACATGCACATCTCATGAGTCTGCAAATCCCACCCTTGATCACGTTCCTAGAAGAGATGTGATCACACGTTCATCAGGACGAGTCTAAGATCCAATTGCCTATTGTATCCAAATGTCTACAACAACGAAAAAGTGTGTGCTGTATTTCCATAATGGAATACTCAGCGATGAGGACAAACATTTGCAAAACACATTGCATGATGAATCTCACAAACATAAGACTGAGTGAAAAAAGCCAGACACTGGAAGGAAGTGCCTAATTCCACTTAGAGCACATCCCAAACACCAGGCATGGCTAACCTACTTCTAGAAGTCAGGACAGTGAATGGATGCAAGACGACATGCAAGGGGCTCCTAGGGCGAGGAAATGTTCTGTTTTGTTTTTTAACCTGTGTGCTTGCTAGTTATGATATGGGTTCACCTCCATGAGAAGTCAGATGATGTAATTTTCTTAAGTGTGCCTTTATTGTGATAAACATTAACCATACTTTCAAGGCAGTCTTAAAAATTTTCTCTAACCAAATGTTTTCACATACTTTTAAGACAATGCATGTATTTTAAAAAGGAAGGGTAAGAATCCATTAACTGGGCTGCCACACAGATCCTCAAAGGACAACCTCAATGGCAGCCGATGATGCAGCTGCTAAGAGTCACCCAGCAACCCACAACCAGGGGCTCTTGAGCCTTCCTCCCTG